CTTTGCGTTATTCTTTACTTTAGCTGTGGCAAGCTTTAATGGTCAAAAAGAATATATGCAACTTTTGCTTGATACTCAATACTTAGATAATTGTTTTAATGTAAGCATGCATAATTCTTAAGACAAAAAAATAACCCCTATAGCATGTCACAAAACACTTTTTGGAACATTAATATCAGACCTATTAAAAAACACGTCATCTTTTCAATGATGAAGCATCGTTTATCTTATTCTCTAAATTTGCAAATGTAAAGATAATATGGTCAACTCTATGTTCACCTCTACTTTTCTCAATTGTTGCTCAACAGAGCTCCGCGGACGTGCTGTGGACTCAAGAACGGTAAATGTATTCGAAAATAGACTGCTTTACATATTGGTAGACGAGCGCTCTACCTCTTGACCAGTCGGTTCCAGTTGAAATATTTATATTATTTAGAAGGTGTATAACTCTCCCATCTCATTGAAACTATGTTGCGAATAGTATTTTTTTTATTTAATCAAATCAACTTTTTAAAAATGTATTATATACCAAACTTTATGAGAACCAATTAGGTTAAGCGTACCTCCTGAAGTTTGTCCAATAGTCAACAGCAAGACAAAAGCGGTAAGACACAAGTGTTTCATGGCCGCCATTTTAATTTAATGATCTGTATGTGAATATTGTAAGTCTATTATTTAAAGGAAACATATAACCCTATGATTTATAGAATTAGAAATCATAAAACACACAGAATCTTTACTTAACATCATCTGTTTGTAGTTGGTTGCTGTTTATATTTTTTTAAGAATTCTTCTTCGTTCTTAATTCTAATGTTAGAAGGGGTTTCCTCAAACACAATAACGTGTCAACTTATTATCTGCTTTTCTTTTATTTTTACTTGGTTGACTTTAAACAATAAGAGTTGATTTAAGTTTCACAGCTCCAATAATCTACAGTTTTAATGCTTTAATCTTATGGCTGAAAAAAAAAAAATACTGAACGGCAATTAAGTCGTAAATATAAAAAAACTTACCACTTGAACTTTGACAAGACAAACAACTGAGACGCAGTCAGTTACCTTATGACGTGAACAAACTTCTCTTTGCGCAGGCTCACGTGACATTAATTGAAAACGGAACTGCGCAAGCGTTCGTAGTAATAACATGCTAACCCGCTCTAAGTCTTTACCCAATAAAAAGTAAACACGCAATATCACAAACACAATGACTCTTTAAGGCTGTATAACAATTGATAATATCCAAAACGAGCCCACCCGCTGCGTATCATACGCCGCTATTTAGTTTTTTTTTTCTACTTTTCAGTAATTTATAATTTGTGAATTCGACAGTACCAATTCTGCCACTGAAAAAACACTAAACCCCCCCCTCCCCCCCCCCCCCCCCCACGTGAAAGCAGCCTCCTCTTAGTTACCTCCTCTAAGTTTAAAATCGTTTCAAACTAAATTATCTGCCCCTAATAGCCGTCACCAAACCCGTCTCTACGATTGTAAAATGTAAACAGCGTGACCACAGCTCACCAGACAATGTGGGGGTGGGGTGGGGGTGGTAGTGATAGTGATAGAGAGAAAGAGAGGGGACTGCAAGGAGGCGCTTGCAGCTTGTTTTCTAACGGCTCCCAGAAGAGAATTATATATATATAGATAGTGGATAATGCAATTAATACATGGTGGAAAAAAAAACAAGATGAAACCAGTGTTGTCACGCCCTGGTTAATTTCAACTCAAGAACGACTCGTGTTTACGTTCAATACGTTTATTCGGTCTCACATATTCACATTACAGAATAGCCCTCGACCTAACTTCTACCAACTAACCCCTGACAATCATTCACTCCAACTTTTATACCTCATTCGACCTTGGGATAACAATACATAAACACAGCGGGTTAACAATATTCTAGGGTAAACTCAACTCACACACGCACTCTCCCCTAATTCTAGATTATTCTATCCTATTCTAATCTAACCTACAACTGAAGTGTGCTGAACTATCGAGAACCACAGCCTATTTGGTAGGAGATCGATCTTATCCGGTGATTACCAGTTGTTGTTTTTTTGTCCAGTCTCTATTTAAGCAACGGAATAATAGTGACAAGTTTTTTTACTATAATTGCAATGCATTAGATTCATGTATAAGATTTAAATGATATATTTTAAAATATATTGTATTTTGTAAAAAAAAGAAAAAGTTACATTAAGAATAAAGAATAAACGTATTAAAATTTAAATATAAAATTAGTTTTGTTTTTCGTTTTAAACATCCGGATGAAATGCAACAGCGACTTATTAACATGCCGACACACTACTTTACACGAATGTATGTTACAACACTGCTTCAGCATGTTTGTTGAACATATATTTTTACATAATGCTACATAAAAACATTCTATATACATTTTGTATCTGCTGCATAAAAGCACTTATTAATTTTTTTATTGTGCCTTGTCCGTCTACAAATAACAAATGCAAGGGACGTTACCTTTGATACAACTGGCAAAATTTAATTAGTTTGAAACTTTGCTCTCCCCTCGTAAGTATTGTAAGTGCAAAATCGAATTGCAAAAATTGTGCATGTATCGAGCTGTCATTTTTTTTATTCAAAAGAATTGATTAACGGATTCAGGGGATTTTCAACATAGCCGTAACTTGTCTTTTATACATGTAAATTGAGATGGTCTAATTTTTCCAAAAAATGTTCTAGCAATGTTTAATTATAACTTCGATTTCCCCATTATTCGAACTCTTCGTTGTGAACGGTTTTGAAAAATAATATGAATATTTCAAGTTAAACGATGTTAAATTATTTGATATCTTCCGACACTGTTCGCTATCGTTGCGGATTAATATCAATCTTTGTACAAAATTTTAAAATATTAGACCGATTGAGAGTCGCTGTAAAAAATTTCACAAATATTCCATGTAGTCGGTAGGCTATAGATTGCGGGATGCTATTTGTATACTTTGAAATACAATCTATAATCAAAACGAAGCTATAGCAGACTTGACAAATGGTGTATCGTATTAGATGTGTATTGTTTGTTTGATAGTGGAATACCTGGCCATAAGATGTGTATGTGTGGACGATTAATCTTAGATTTTGCATTGTAAAAGTAAAAGTAAAGTTTCCCTTTCAAATGTGAAGTAGAGTTCACTTGTTTCTATACACAGCCGCATTTACCTTTCCTAGCGTGAGTTGGATGGACTCAAAGACGGTCTACTGACTTGAAACGGGATTCGAACTTAAGACTTACAAGTTAGCAGTCCAGCTCTCTACCGCTAGACCACTCCGGTTTTGCATGCTTTTGTCGAATTCGCTCACTGACTGTAGTGTGAAAATGCGACGGTATATATGGTGGATGATAGAATATGTTAGGGGTGTCACCTAGATGAATGTAGGGGGAAGCTAACTGATGTGGGTGTTCCTATGCATCCAGTATTTAATCCAATGTTTGTCTAATTAATATTGTAGTTGTTTTGTCAAGGATTATATTAATAATTTATTGTTATCATAGACATATTTATATGTACTGCGTGTATTCTAACCTTTTGTAAATAAAGTTATTTGTCAAGTAAGAAAATATGTCACGTTTATTCAAAGTACTTACAACCTCAACTGAATATCGTAACATATAAGCTTTGTTTCAGATGTTTCTTTACAAATGCAACCTGACAGAGTTAAATATTTATTCTAGTTGGTCTGGATGATTTATGGTCTAGGGACCTCGAATTTTTAGAGCCCACAAAATTGTTATTAAACTCTAAATCATGTTAGAGACAGAAAAGGCGGCCGGGCAAAGTACTTATTAGCTTTCATTCATATGCCGAGAAACATTTAAACTCTACTTCGCCTCCCAAATCGCTAAGTGTGAATAGGATCCTTTACTTTTTGCTTGTACTAATTGTTATAACTATGTATAAACTGTATTTTGTAAGAATAATCTAATAGTAATAAAAGAGCAAGTAAAAAAGTATTTTTCAGCAGTGTGGAGCGTAGGCGGATAACTAGAAAAATTCTATGTAGAGTACTCTTGTTAAAGTTTGATTTGTATTGAATCTTTTCAAGCATTTGTTAATAGAATGTCTGCACTCTCTTTTAGATATCTTGGTAATCCTTTAAAGGCATAGAAAATAAACACAGAAGCATTAACGAGTACTAAAACAAACGCAAAATAAAACATTGTTTTTACTTTCTCGTATATACGAAGTAGCCTATAGAGAAAGTCTTGTAATCGTGCAAAAAAAAAAAATCGAGATTTTTACAAATCTCGACGTTTTACACCTCACTGATACGGAAAAACATAATTTTGCAATCTTGTCCGTATGTCTGTGTGTCTGTGTGTCTGTCTGTCTGTCTGTCCGTGTGTAAACACGATAACTTGAGTGCCGTTACAGCTAGGTTGATGAAATTTCATATATAAGTATTTTATCAAAATCGTAGATCCGTATCAACTTTTGAGCGATTTCCGCTAACCGGAAGTGGTACTTTTCCTACTTTGAATTTTTCAAAAGCCTATAACTTGAGTACTATTTCAGATAGATAAATGAAATTTCACATGTAAGTAAAAGATCTAATTCTCTACCTTCTGTTAAATTTTGAGTAATTTCCGTTGACCGAAAGTAGTAATAAACGCTACTTCCATTTGGCGTTCACTTGGTGTGCAATTAATTTGTCTACGAGATTTTTTTTCTATTTTTAAAACTTTAAGTATTTAAAATGGATTAAAAATCATGTCTATAGCCCGAGTTCCCATCCCCTGTTAATTTTATATAAGAATATTCGAGAAAGTTTAGGGGAGAACACTCCCGGTTTATTTTATTACATAAACAAATATGATATGTAATTCGAAACATTTTACATAATTTTACGAAACAAACGCATAGCCCTCAAATATTGTTTCTGCTTTATTACTTTAATGGCTGAAGATTTTATTTGTAAAGAAAAACAGTCATAAATAGCAATGAATCTTGGGAAATACAAATTGTAAATGTATTTTTAATGGACCTTCAAATTATAAGACGTGTCACAGTTCTAAGTATTAATTTGACAAAAGAAAAATGTTTCAGTATACAAGACATTAACAATCAAAGTAGTTACCAACATAAAAAGGATTTTGTGAAATAACACATTAATAAAGAGAAATGTGTGGCATTCAAAAAATCTTGACCAAGATCGACACCGTGACCAAGGCGAGCAGCATCAAAGCTGATGGCAGTGTACTGATGCTTGTGGCGCCATTTTTGTACTCTAAAAAAATATTTGAAGAAACAATGTAAAAATGAATCTGCACTCTTTTTAAAATACTTAATAATTAATATTAATATTAGACGGCGTAGCCTTGCAGTAGAGCGCTAGACTGCTAACAGGAAATCGGAAAGTCTCGAGTACATATCCTGGTTAAAATCTGTAGAACGTCCATGAATCTACTAAACTCTGGTGGATACCTAACTCAGGTTAGGGAAAGAAAATGCGGCTGGGCATATAGTACAGACCAAACTATACCTTTATATGCTGAGGTCTCAGAAACATATAAATGCTACATCACATGCCCCATGTCCCGTCATTTTAGAAAAGAGATCTCTCCTTCATTACTTTATTAACATTCATATTACTGTTAGTAAAAAGTAAAGTCCCTTTTCAAACCTGACTGTCTATGGGGAAGTGAAGTGGAGTTCACTTGTTTCTGTGACCTCGGCATATGAAGAGATGGTGTGTCAGCACTATGCCCAGCCGCCTATACTCTCCCTATCGTCCCTGAGTCCACCCAACTCTGATGGGTACCTAACTCACGTTAGGGAAATAATTACTGTTAGTATACTTGTTTAATATAAATAAAGTCATCTATAAATAGAACAGAAGGGATAAACAACAGATGTCCACTTAACTACTTTCGAGGAAAAAAAATTAACTTCCTGTTTGAAGAATCTCGGCATGTTTTTAGAGTTTTTAGATTTTTTTATTATGAAAACTGAGTCAATCCCACAATGCATGTGAAATGGTTTATGTTACAGAGTTACAATAATTGATGATCCAGTATCGATAATTTAATAATGACCAGATTGGACATGTAAAGTTTTCCCTGGCTTACAAACCGTGTCTCTTTCAGACTTTTTTATCCGTAGGGTGGGGGGGGGAGGGTGGACTAAATTCTTCCGTGAAGGAGGACACTGGTAATGTATACATTTTCTATATAAATTCCATCTCGTTCGGGGAACGGTAGGTTTTCTTCGGATACCTCAGCCACCCCCTTACGATATAGACAGACTGGCGACAGACAGAGGAAGCAAGTTAAATAAAAGCTTGTAAAAACGGATAATAAGATAAAAGAACTGTTTACTTACTGTTGATGAGGTCGGCTGCACTAAATGCTGAAAGAAAAGTAAATGATGTATTTCATAATGGTTGGTATCTGAATATAGTAATATACCTACTTTAACTCTTCACTAAATATGACTTTACCAAGAATAAAGATGCATGTCACTTTTTTATTAAATACAAACGAAATATGTAATTTACACAGTGATATATTTAACTGCTGAGTTATTTTCCTTCAGATTTATTCTAGGCCTTATTTCCTGGATGATTTAGTACAGTGGGCTTACAGTCTTGTATGTTTTAGTTCACTGGGCTTGAAGTTTTGTAGGTTTTAGCCCAGTGAAATTATAGGCTTGCAGGTTTTAGTTCCGGTGGCTTGTGTCTCATAGGTTTTAATTCAGTGCCCTTATGTCTCTTAAGTTTTAGTCCCAGGGCGAATGACTTTGAAAGTTTGAGTACAATGGATATATTGAAAGTTCAGCCCACAGTTTGTGTTTATCAGTTAAGTAGGCATTCAGATGATTAGATTGAAACAAATGAAGAAAATATAACTCACAGCACTTAAGTCCTAACTGACGCAGCTGTGAATTCATCTGCTCGATTAATTGTGTCTCGATTTCTGCTGTTAAGCCGCAGTTTTGTTGAAATACACAAGCGACAAAAGTTTGCATGTCACTAAAGAATAGACAAGAAAAATTAGTTATCATATTTAACAAATGTTATTATATGCGTATATATATGTATGTATATATATACGAGAAAAATGGCCCGTTGAGGAAGGATACAACGGGCGCTAGGTTGATAGTGCTGTCTATTTTCTCGGTACTTTAATTTATACAAAATATAGTCATATGCATATCCCTAAACCATGAACCTAATCTCATTCATGACAAAAGTCGCATTTAGAGTTTCTTTCAGGCAACTCTACTTGCGAGGAGGGGGCTTTGCCCCACCCCTCTCCGGGGAGGAAAAAGTCTGAAATAAACACCGGTCGCATTTGTAGATCATACAAACTAAAGGAAGAATCTGGGCGGGGCTTCGCCCCTACCGGAAGAGATGCTTGGAATAAAAAACTGCACGCTAAACGCTTTTTAGATTAGAAAAGTTCCCCCCTCCGGGGAGGAAAAAGTCTGAAAGAAAGACTGGTGTCGCGCTTAGCCACTACCCGAAGAATTGCATTAAAGAAATTGCAAGAAAACCACTTTTTAGATCAGACACATTAATTAGGCGGTACTTTTATTATAGAGTATCGGTGAAGAAATTTCTTTTGAGTTGGGGAGGGGGGGGGGCTCAGACGTTCTTACGCGGGGGTGGGGCTTCGCCCCTACCCGAAGAATTGTATGCAAGAAACTCTTCACGCAAACCATTTAGATTAGACAAAATTGCCTTTTTATTCAATGTTTACTCGAGAATCAATGACGTCATATTACTGTGTGCACTCTCCGGCTTGATATTATTTTCTACTCTATGCTAAATGTGACGACGTCATACTTCGTTTTTCGAATTACTTTGCATGTTTTTAATTTGCTTGTGTTTTCTCTAGAGCTTTCTTGTCAGATACATAGATAGATACACAGATAGATAGATAGATAGATACACAGACAGCGAAACTATTAGTATTAATATATATATATATATATATATATATATATATATATATATATATATATATATATATATATATATATATATATTGTTGTATAGGCGTTACTTTAGTCGTTGGAGAATTAAGGTAGTAGAACAACAACCACTCCAATTTTCAACCAAAATCAATACTGTTTCAAACAAAGACACTGCAGATGTCTTGTTTGCAGCACTTTTGATGTCATAAAAGCACAGTTTAATATAGTTAATAATAAAATCATGCGCTTAAGCAAATACACATGCGTGTACTTACGCTGAATAGGCACATCCACAGCAGTAGACTAAGACATAAGCATAGACATAGACATAAGTCATAGTAATTGTATACCAATCGTATGTTAAGCCTAATTCAATATTACACTCACTTGCAAATGGCGTTTACATTAGTGACGTGGCTTGCAACATTTTGCAGGAATGTGCTGTAGCATTGTGTTAATCCAGATTCGCAGTCTATATGATCATAACAAAAGATTTAGATCAAGAAATTATATATATATATATATATATATATATATATATATATATATATATATATATATATATATATATATATATTAATGTTTATATACATATAAACGTATATAAATAAATATTGAAAGATAGAGAGAAAGAGAGTTGTATATGTTTATGCATATAGAGTTGTGTAGTATAAATCTGAAAAATGTGCGGGCGTTTGGATTTAGTTCAAGGCAGACTGTCCCTCACACTTTGAGGTCAAGAAATATATGAACTCTACGTCATCTGGGGAACGGCGAGATCGGATGCTAGAACGTACGTCTACTAACCTAAAGGTCTCGAGTTTGAATCCCGGATAGTGGCTGGGCATAGTGGGCATCTCTGTTAGATCATACAACAGCGACACAATTGCAGACTACAAAACTAGGGCCGAACTAGGGCCGAACTGAACAGAGGCAAATCAAGGCATTTGGGTGAGGGGTGCAAAGTACTGATGCTAATGTAATATTAGATTCTTTGAAATGTTATAAAAAAAAAAGTTCTTTAAGACAGTTTCTTTTGTAAAAGATTTCAGTAATATGGTTCCAGATTTTCATGAATACCACAGACCTACGTACCTCCTGTAGTTAGTCCAATTGTAACTGCGAAGACAAACGCAGTAATGTACAGTGTTTTCGTTGCTGCCATTGTATTGAAATATCTGTAATCATTTTAAAGTATTAATTATAGGAGAAGAAAATATTAACCCTCCCTAACAAGCCATTATTTCACGATAATTTGTACGATAATACTAAACCAGCTTTAATTTCTTAACCGAAATAATTACTAATTTGCAGGACTCATTTATGGTTTAAGGTTAAACAGATGAATGTTCCCTAAATTTTGGAAAAACAAAAGTTTTCGCGAAAATTATAAATAATGAGTGCCTAATTGTTTCGAACATAACTATTTAATTAACTCGTTTTTATGTGTGTTACTATGCCCGAATAAAAGCTCTTGTAAAATGGTTTTATCTAAGACGATTAAGTCACGTAATACAGGCACATCTATCAAGCTGTAAACGGAAAATCCTACCAGCTGAACTTCTCACAGGTACGCAACTGATGAAGTGTCATAAAATTTATGAAGTGATCATGGCTAGATTGCGCATGCTCGCTTGGTGTTCAGCCAGCCAACCAATCGTACAGCCTGAGCTAACCATCGTGATCCAATGAAAATCAAACAACGCTTCAAGACACCAGGAGTATTTTTATTTATTGAGATGCTGTTGATCATGATTAGAAAGGATGGGCGCATGCAATTTAGGTCAAGGTGAAAAATTGGGGTGGGGAGGGCGTCTGTTGACAAACATTGAACTCCAGAGAAAGACAAATCAATAAGAAAAATATGTAAGCACTCTCTCTTTCACACATACAATATATATATATATATATATATATATATATATACATACATATATATATATATATATATATATATATATATATATATATATATATATATATATATATATATATATATATATATATATATATATATATATATATATATATATATATATATATATATATATATATATAGGGGGCCCAGACATTTTTTTTGAGGGGTGGCCTTTTTTTTCTAGTTCCACCACTGATAATATTAAGAGATATTAGGGAGGTTTAGTCTGTATTTGTAGTATTCAATACAAATACTTAGGGTGGGGTCATTTAGAGGTTATGATTGAATAGTCTAGAACACACAAAGGAGTGTGTTTCTGAGCTGAGTTAACCCCGGGATATGGTTTTCCCCAAGGTGGAATGCAGGCACAAAAGCGGAAGAGATCGCGGCTTGAGAGGGTGGGGGGGGGGTAATTTTTAATAGCGGCTAGCAAATATGGCATTTCTGTGCGATGTGTAGATATTGAAATATAAAAAAAGTTCACCAGAGCGTTGTATCTTGAACTAAAGTCACCCAAAGCTGTATCCACATGCATATAACATCATAAACATGCAAACATATTTGTACATACACAAATACCCGCCCCCCCCCCCGCACACATACACAAACACAACCTCTATACTGCCTTCTCTCTGTTTTCTATTTTTAATACAAAAGAAATAAAAATGCATTAGAAGTTAGTTTCTATTTAATCGCCCCCCCCCCAAAAAAAACATACTTATATACACTAACACAACCTCTATACAATCTCTTCTATTAACTACGTTTTAATATGTAAAGAATTGAAAATTGCATTAGAAGTAAGTTTCTATTTATACAAGTTCACAACCACCCCTTCCCGACCACACCCCCCCCTCTAAACACACACTTTCCCTCTCCGCCAAGTATACACGAACACAACCTATATACGCCCTCATTTCTGTTTCCTACGTTTTAATACCAAAAATAAACCGGGAGTGATCTCCCAAAACTTTCTCGAATATTTTTATATAAAATAACAGGGGATGGGAACTCGGGCTATAGACATGATTTTTAATCCATTTAAATACATAAAGTTTTAAAAATAGAATAAAATCTCGTAGACAAAAAAAATGCACACCAAGTGAACGCCAAATAAAAAAGTGCATAATAGTGCGCAATATTATTAGTACTTTAAAAATTTACGTTAGTTTTTTGAGAAATCGGAAGTAGCGTAAATTACTACTTCCGGTCAACGGAAATTACTCAAAATTTAACAGAAGGTAGAGAATTAGATATTTTACTTACATGTGAAATTTCATTTATTTATCTGAAATAGTACTCAAGTTATAGGCTTTTGAAAAATTCAAAGAAGGAAAAGTACCACTTCCGGTTATCGGAAATCGCTCAAAAGTTGATACGGATCTACGATTTTGATAAAATACTTATATATGAAATTTCATCAACCTAGCTGTAACGGTACTCAAGTAATCGTGTTTACACACGGACACACACACACACGCACACAGACAGACACACAGACATACGGACAAGATTGCAAATATATGTTTTTCCGTATCAGTGAGGTGTAAAACGTCGAGATTTGTAAAAATCTCGATTTATTTTCGCACTATTACAATACTTTCTCTATACTTCGTATATACGAGAAAGTAAAAATAGAAAAATGCATTAGACGTAAGATTCTATTTAAACAAGTTCACAACCACTCCTCCCCGACCACCCCCCACCACCAACCAACCTCTCTCTGACCGCCTTTCTGTGTGTCTCATCTTAGCCTACCCTGCCCGCCCTATCTAAAATATTCATTTACAGTCTAGTCTAGTTCGTTTTTCATTCAAGTCACGTTGACCCAGAACCCTGAAAACTTGTTTTTCGTTTTAAAACTGAAAATGAAACTAAAATTTCGAATAAGCCATGCACATGTTGTTGCAGTAGATAACCTTGACTTTTTATATACGACTTTTTATTGCGCCTTAAATTTGCGTTGCTAAAATGATTTTACCACTTGAGATTTTTTAAAGGGCTTTTTTTTCTCAATCATCCAAACCGATCAACATAACAGGGTTTTTTTAAAACACGTTCTTTTCTGGGAAAGGGTGGGGCACTTAAAACTTTGTAGGCGGACACCGATTAAGTATTGATGAATTATATAGACTGTATACTTCCATAATCCGCGCGGGGTGGAATCTCTACGGGATTAATGCCTACCTCGACATAGTTTATTGCTGAGCTTTATCCACAAGTGCTATGATTGAAGGTGCTTTGAACACAACTGCTTTGACCAAAGTTGCTTTAGCCACAAAGGTTCTTTGACCAAACGGGCTTTGACCAAAGTTGCTTTGACCACATATGTTCTTTGACAACAAAGGTTCTTTGACCATAGGGGCTTTAACCATAAGGGTTTTAACCATGGATGCTATGACCATTAGTGATTTGACCATAGAGACATTAACCACATGGTTTTTGGTCAAAGCACATACAAGTAACACTGAGACACAATAACGTTACTCTGCTGATGACGATAGATAGGTTTTCAAAAGGTTAATATTAGTATGAGTGTAACTGTTGGCGACGTAATCATTCTAACATCGATAGAGATGTTATAAAAGTGGCTACGGTGTTAGTGGAGGCTGGGGCTAGGTAGGGGGGTAGAGCGATGGCGTCTCTATCAAAAGTGGTCATACGATTTGCTTCAGGGAGATAAATAACATTAATTTTAAGCTCAAACGAAATCTTAGCCCCACTTCGTCTGTTATTAAACCGATTGTAGAGGCAACATTAACTAAATGTGTTTTCAACTCCCAGTTGGGATCTCACTAACACTAGATCTGTACCACTTGCCACCAGACAACGATGCCGCAGTAACACAACATCTTCAACACTTTAAACACTATTCACTACGAATAGACAACATAACACAAAGCACATACTCCAAAATGTTATTTCACCACTTAATTAAAACAAAAACTTTTTTAATAATAAGCTTATAATGTACTGAAAATAAGAATATAAAACGTATTTTCTTTGATATAAGCTTTGGTCGATAATATATGTAAACTATCTCATGAGCGACAATGATACCCTTCCGTTATGGATTATAGTAATCTATCGAGTGGTCACTAGTATTTAATCTTTTTATGTCCCCTTAGTTCTGTAACCATTTATTAATTTTTAATGACTAAATAAACTTATAATTAATTTTTTTTAAAAATATTCATGCATTGCCCTCAAAGAAGGTATCTGGAAAATTAAAAGGAAATCGCTTCATTAGAAGTCAAAAGTGAACTACAAGATTTTACACAAACTCGGAAGCACACATGGTGAACTTAGCAAAAGCTTGTAAAAAATACTATTATGCTATTGATTCTTGAATCTTACCTCCCCCTCACCCCTTTTTCCCACCCTATTCAGCGACACAAGAAATATGGCCCATTTCTTGGCAGTCAATACGTCGAGAAACCATCATCTAGGAACTGAGAGTCGGGGCTTTTGAACTGAATCATCTTGTCGTGGGCTATTAGCTTAGGGCCTTTCAGTCGAGGTCGTTTTGTCGTATGTGATCTGTCACGTTCTCTTGAGACTTTTCACTAAAATCTAAACCTGGTACAGATATGCAACTAAATCACACAACACACTGAACATCTGGTTGCCTGCAAGTTTTCCCGTGTATTCAATTTAGATTTTAACGTAACTTGGTTGAATTTTTTCGTTACACTTTATCCTTCGTATACTAAACACTTATTACTTGCAAATGTAATTACTAACATGCCTTTGCATTTCGTTTTTTTTTATTGAAATAAACACGATGCAAAATATAAGTTATAGTTATTTATGAAAATTATAGAAAATAAAAAATGTACATACCCTGCGATTAAAAAAAAGAGCTACGGAAACACCCCCCCCCCCCACACACACATACACATACACAACACCAACATGAATGACTTTGCGCAATCCCAATTATATGAAACAGCCACAAACCCGTTTTCGAATTACGTTCATTACAAGCTAAGTGAAGATAACAATTAATTTACTTCTACTTTCGTTTTACTTATATTATCGTATAATGTGGTGAAAGAACAAACCGGCACCTAACTCCCATCCCCCCAACCCCCCCCCCTTTTTTTCCCCCACCTAACATTGAAATGAAGAGTCACTTCCAAACCACACCTTAAAATCCAAAATCGGAACTAAAATAGCAGGAACTGGGAGCCAACCCATTTAACGTGCTGTTACCGAGAAAATGTAACATAAAAAATAAGCCTTGTAAATACACTCCAGACGGCAATGTCGCGCAGTAATATATAGCAGTGTGTGTACCGTGTAGGCAGAAGCGCAATAACTTTAGAATTTAATCACTTGAAGTGGCGTGTCGTGTCTGCCTGCCTGCCTGCCTGCCTGCCTGCCTGTCTGTCTGTCTGTCTGTCTGTCTGTCCGTCCGTCCGTCCGTCCGTCCGTCCGTCCGTCCGTCCGTCTGTCTGTCTGTCTGTCTGTCTGTCTGTCTGTCTGTCTGTCTGTCTGTCTGTCTGTCTGTCTGTCTGTCTGTCTGTCTGTCTGTCTGTCTGTCTGTCTGTCTGTCTGTCTGTCTGTCTGTCTGTCTGTCTGTCTGTCTGTCTGTCTGTCTGTCTGTCTGTCTGTCTGTCTGTCTGTCTGTCTGTCTGTCTGTCTGTCTGTCTGTCTGTCTGTCTGTCTGTCTGTCTGTCTGTCTGTCTGTCTGTCTGTCTGT